GGGATCAGACAGGCACATGAAGGCAGTAGAATGAGTGAAGAGGTCCAGCCACTCTGGAAAGCATTCAGAAACTATGTCCCCAAAGTCACTAAATCATATATGCCCTTTGCCCCAAGGACACTACTACTAGGTCTTTATCCCTAAAGAGATCAACAAAAGAGGAAAGAGGAAAAGGACCTGTACTACAAAACTAATCCTAGCAGTTCTTTCTAGAAAGGAAATTAAGGAGGTATGCCCATCAACTGGGGAATGACTAAACAAATTATAGTATATGAATGTAATGGAACATTATTGTGTGTAAGAAATGAAATGATAAAAAGGAATGGGTTCAAAGAAATCTGGGAAGACTTGTAGGAACTGATATAGAATGAAGTAAGCAGGATAAGAACAATGCATATAATAACAACACTGTAAAAACAAAAAGTTTTCAAAGAATTAATGATTCTGATCAATGCAACGACAAATTCCAATCTCCAAGGCATGCTGATGAGGCAGGTTTCCCACTCAACACAGAGACAAGACACTCACAATGCAGAGTGAGACACACATTTTTGGACCAATGGGAGAATCTGTTTTGCTTGCCTATGCATATTTGTTTCAAAGATTTGGGTTTTTTCTTTCTTTTTTTAATAAGGAAGGAAATAGGAAGGAGAGAAAGTAAAAGTTTAAAAAACAGTTGGACTGGATGATATCTAAGATCTCTTCTAGCTCTAAGTCTTATGATACTATAAAAATCTGCATTTTTCAAAAGTTGTAGCTCAAAAATGGGGAATTGGTTACACAAGGCTATGCAGTGGCTTAGTGGCAAAGTCAGGATCAAGATCTAGGCCTCCTCACTCCTCAGTCTATTTTCCTAACACATCAAACAGATTCTCAATTGTTAGTTACCTTTTCATAATCAGATTCGGTTGTCTCTTCAAGTATACTGTAAGCTCCTTGAGCACACAGACAATCATCTTACAGTTAGTCAATAAACACTGAGCAAGCACTGGCCTACGTGCCAGATGCTGTACTAAGTGCTATGGAATTTACACATGGAAGCAGATCAGGACACCATGATGGACAGAGAAGATCCTTCAGTCTATTCGACATCCTGGTTTTACTAATGAGCAAAATTAAGCCCCAAGCAAACCCAGTAACTTGTCCAAGGGCAGGCAGGGAAGAAAAGCAGCAGAATGGGTGCATGTATGAACTCAGGTACTCAGGCTCCCAGGGCTTCATCCCTTTGACCACTCCACACCTTGCAGTGTGCAGCACAGAGAGGGACTCACTAAATATTTGCTGGTGATTATTGATGGAAACAAAGGCTCCTGCTCTTTATACTGCTTTCCTGTCCAGTTAAAAATCCCCCAACAATTCCTCTTCCCAGGAGCTGGCTCTACATCTGCTACTCCTGCTGGAGTCTTGCTTTTTCAGCGCAGTGTTACCCTTAGTCAGAATTCTTAGTACTACCAAACCTGAACAGGTCTGCTCCCAGCAGGAAGAGAATTAGACTTTGCTTATCTTTGCAATGTGATGACAGAGGAGCTCATCTTTCAAAGCAACATCTTCCAAGGCAGGAAGAGACAACGATTTCATCTTTTACTCAGTCTCCAAAGGACCCCCTTAAACTGACTTCTGGTACACTATTGCTCCTGGAAGAGGTTATCGTTTTTATTTGGCTTGAGAAGAAGGTCCACATAACGAAAGAGAAAGGAGGGAGGGAGCAGATCACTTCTGACGTACTGTCAGTCCTCTGACAGAAGTGTTAGTTACAGTGAGGATCCTGCTATTTTCTGCCATACTTACTCAGCTCCCTGGGAATGTGCTTTTAAGAGCATTGCTTTTAGCAAGCAGCATACTTGTGGTTACAGAGGCAGAAACGATCCTAATTCGTTAGACAGTCCTATTCTAGGGCCATTCCTTCCACCAGTCAGAAGACTGCTGGGGGGGTTCAGATGAGCTACTCTGACGATTCTCTGGATGAGGAAAATGAAATTTCTCAATACATTTAGATTCCAGCATCACTGTACAAAAGTAGCTTTGACAAAACAGAGGTGACTACAGCAGGTAAGGCCACTTACAGTCACAAATTAGAATTACAGAAGCATCAAACAGCAGAACAAAAGAAGAAAAGCCTTGGGCATTAGCTTAGTCCAACCCACTCATTTTACCAAAGGAAAAACGAAGGCCAAGCAGCAACACAAGCCGATCAAAAGGGGTCTCAGAATCAGGAAGACCTGGGTTCAAGACCCACCCCAAACTTACCACTGTACCTGGCACACGATCAGTGCCTAATGCTGACCTCTGGCACATCTGGCCGTGTATGTGGCCCTGAGAAAGCAACTTCATCTTAGGACTCCAGCAACTCTCTAAAACTATGGAGTTGCAAAATGGGGCCTCAGTGGTAGCAGCTTTCACCATGAGGTTGCACCCTAACGACATCTCCCAGGTAGCCAGAAAACTAAAATAAATAAGACATCTAAGGTCCAGAGAGAGGGAATCATTTGGCAAACTTCTCCCAGCCTATTGGTGGTATCATTGAGCCGACAGGAAGAAGGGTTGTTTTCAACAGGCCTAGTCATACTATCAACCAATCAACATTTATAAAGCACCAGCTGTGTGTCAGGCACTGGGCTAAGTGCCAGGTATATTAAGAGGCAAAAGACAGTCCTGCCATCAAGAAGCTTATAATCTAATGGAGTTTTAAGACAATATGCAAGATACAAACTAGCTAAATACAAGCCACTTACAAGAGAAGAAGAAAATAACTAACAGAGGGAAGGCACTGGAATTAAGAGGGGTTAAAAACGGAAGGCTTCTGGTAGAAGGTGGGATTTTAGCTGAGACTTAAAGGAAGGTAGGGAGAGAGCTCTATGCCCAGAGCTGAGAGATGGAGGGTCCTGTTCAAGAAACAGCCAGGAGGCCAGTGTCCCTGGACTGAAGAGTAAGGGAGTAAGGTGCAGGAAACTAGAAAGGGAGGAGAGGCAGGTTATGAAGGGCTCTGAATGCCAAACTGAGCATTGTGCATTTGATTCCTGCAGCTCTCCAATCAGAAAGCCACAGGAACTGAGGGGCCCAAGGAGTGCTGAGGACCCAAACTGAAACAATCTCCAGGATGGTGAGCTTCTTCCCTTGGGGGAGATGTGATGCTCATGGAGTTGAGACCAAAGCAAAGGAGCAGTGGGACATGATGCTGAAAGGACATTAGAGCACAGACCATCCAAGACAGAGGAGATTTGGAATATAGACTCTCTGTGGCTGCAGCTGCACCGTCACTCTGATCAGGCATCCCAACGAGCTTTCACCAGGAAGTGGAGCCCAACAGCGTCTGGCCTGCTTTGTGAGACAGACAAGTCATACCGAGCAAAGCAGCTCCTGACCGGTGGCTTAGCGGCTCTGACGCTCATGTGCCTGGCCTCTGGGTGTTCAGGGCACAGGTATGAGGCAGAAACAATTTATGAGTTTGGGATTCTGAATAAAACAGTTACTTAACAAGAGGAAAGCAGTCAGAATGCTCTTTCTAAAGCTACATATCTAGAAATGTGATCACACACACACACACACACACACACACACACACACAAGATGAGTGACCAGACCCTCTGAATTAGCTGTCCTTTATGGTTAATCCAAAGCCAATGAAAAGGAGCTTCAAAAATCTCCACCGCTTTACACAAAGCTCTAAATAGGAAGTGTTCAATGATGTAGAACAAAATTAACCTGTGGCAAAAATCTTCCACTGACCAACCAAGAGGTGCTGATGGCACATTTTGTGCTTCAGGCACAGGCTCGGTTAGAGTTCAGCTGAGGCCTCATCTATCTCCAAAAGTCTAGGATTCCACATTGCTTCAGATATGTTACACGCTGTCATTCATACCAGCTTAAGGCAGAAGACTGTGCTCTGCTCTGCTCACAGGCTCTGCCTGCTTTCAAGCCCGTCTCAAGCCCCTATGCAGACTATCTCGCGATTTCAACATCCCAGGCTTTATTTAGGGAGCCTTCTAGCTCCCACCCTTTGTGTTCTACATTTTAGGATCCACTTCCAGCTCATGTATGAGAAAAACAGAAAGGAAGGGCTCTGAAGGCCAAACAGTATTTTGTATTTGATCTTGGAGGTGACAGGGAGCCACTGAAGTTTCTCGAAGAGGAAGGTTTGTTTATTGACTAGGTCGTGATCAGACCTGTGCTTTAGGAAAACCACTTTAGTAGCTGAATGGAAGATGCAATGGAGTGGGGAGAGACTTGAGGCACGCTGACCCACCAGCAACTACTGCAATAGTCCAGGAATAAGATGATGAGGGCCTAGACCAGGGTAGGGGCAATGACAGAGGAGAGAGGGAGACATGTTCAAGAGACATTACAAAGGAGAAATCAACAGGCGATGGCTGTAATTGGATATGGGGTGTGGGTGAGAAAAGGTGAGGCACCCAGGAGGACTCCTGGGTTGTGAGCCTGAGGGACTGGGAGGATGGTATTGCCATCTACAGTAAGGGAAGGTAGGAGGGGGAAGGGTTTAGGAGAAAGATAACGAGTTCCATCGTGGACATACTGAGTTGAAGATGTCTACTGGAGATCCAATTTAAGATGTCTGTAAGGCAGTTGGAGGACACTGAAGGTTAGCAGAGTTTGAAGCAGGATAGGAAGATTTAGTAAACATGGAAATTAAATCCACAGCAGCAGATGAGATCTCCAAGTAAAGTCATATAGTGGAAGAAAAGAAGAGGGCCCAGGGCTCTAGGATTTATCAAATGAACAAATATTCAACCCATAAATTTTACCCTACTGAGCTTCTGTTCCCTAGGCATAATCATTCCATTTCATTCCAACAAACCTGTGCATGGCAGTCCAGTGATAGGTTTGAGGAAGATACCGAGTTCAGATAAGAAATGGTTCTTGGCCTTCAGGGAACTTATACTCATTCAATTACTGTTGACCAAAGTAAAAAGTTTTGTTCTAGGCAACATGATTCAACATGATTTGGCCCCCCACCTCACTCCCACCAAAGAGGAACACGTTACCTTGGTGTTCCTTCGGAGACTACGCAGAATGTTTCGCCTCCTTGGGTCTTCATCTGTTTCATAAGGGATCACAGAATTGTCCCCTTTGTATCCCTGGGAGGCCTGGTCCTCCTCTTTTTTCCGGATGGGCCCTAGCTCATCGTCACTCCCCACACTGAAGCTGGTCCGGTAGCTGGCAAAGCGCCCGAGGCGCGTGCACCGGGTCCTGTACAACACAGGTTTGCTCACCATAGACATTTTGCGCCCTCGCTCCAAAGAGCTGGTGTCCATTTCACTGTCAGAGCCATTGGCACTCCCATTGGACTGGGCTTTGTTGATGTTTCGGATGGTGATGATTTTGCCTTGGGTGCTATCATGTGGCACAGAGTAGATATTTTCCTCCTCGTTCCGTGGCTTGACCACGGCGTCCATCGGCTCTGCGTAATCTGAAGGGTCAAACCCATCGGCAGGGAGCCAGCTGCTAGAAGACACTGACTTCCTCTGGGCATCCTTGTGCCCTTGGTCCAAATAAGACAAATCCCCTTTTGTTTCGAAATGGACAGGAGGCTTTGGTTTCACTGGGGGAGGTACTTTGTTGTTCAGCTTGCTCTCGATGCTCATGAAGAAAGATAGACCGTCATTCCCCTCCAGCTCCACGGAAAGCTTAGAGTGATCTTTGGACAAAGAAGGCAAGGACGCGTCTTCTCGGAAGAGGCCATAGGATGGGGGCTCGATGTCTTCTTCAGAGTCAGGAAGGTTAGAGTTGCAGAGAGGGGAGCCGGCACGGGGGGAGTTAAAGACCTCCTCGGTGTTACTACAGGCCTCGGCAACGTTATCATACATATGGGTAGCCTCAATGATGTTCTTCTTCTCGACCACGTCTTTGAAGAATGGATGAAAGAGCTCTAGTTTATGCTGAGGCTGGCTACAAGGGATGTTTGTGAACCTTCCGTCAATTTCTTGAGCTATCTCCTCTCCTTCAGTCAACTGTTCCCGGCTTAAGTCATTGTCCAGAACATCGGTTGTGCAGTCAGTGAGAGCTACAAGCTGAATGGGAATGATGTCCTGCACTTCACAAAGAAAGGCACGTAACATAGCCAAGGAGGCCTTCCGTTTGGCTGAATAAAAAACTATGTACCCATGAACCAATCGGCTTTTCCTAATGCTAAATGAGGAATGATATGAAAGAATCGATAATTCGATGCGCTTTTTGTGGGGTCCTAGTATTGGTAATTCAAGTAAAACTGAGTTGTTGCTGCCGCCCTGAGAAGGCTTACATGTTTGGGACTGGAGAACGGGAAAAAGAATGTCATCTGTATTAAATGGATCTCCACACATCAGACACATTACAATCCGCAGATCAATGTCAGCCAGATCTTTGATGCTAGCAGTTGAACTGACAAGATTTAAGTTACGCTTGGAGTCCAAAAGTCCTTTTAAAACTTGACTAATTTGTTTCTCATTGATGTTGCGCCCATAACCAATGCCAGCAGAAGCTGGATCCAGAAAGACACACTGCAGCTTGCTGGCAATCTGCTGGCCTTGCTGGATTAAGCTATGCAGCGTTTCACCACTAGTGTCTCCTCGCTTGTTCACTAAGATTAGTGTCAGGGGAAGATGAACCAAATGATTGTCCCTGCGGCCAAGCGTTGACTCTCTACTTTTTTCAATACTTTCTACAACATAAGAGAGAGACTCCTTTGAATTGTAAAGGCAGAGACAACCATGGGGCTGAAAGGTTGGCGTCTGGAAAGAATTTACAGGAAGTCGGACATTACCTTCTATCGGCCTCAGAGAAAGTTCATACATTTTGCCATCTATCACATACTTGTCATCATTTGTACAAAGAGCTCGGATTTCATTCGCCAATTCTCTAGCAAGACCATCCTTGCCAAGAATAACCAGGTTGATCCGATCTATGTTGGGGTCAGAAAGTGAGTTTTTTTGATTGCGATCAGGTCTGATGAACCGAGAACTAACCAAGTGTTCAATTTTGGAGTCTACACACATGGGGCAGCTGGGACAAGTCTCCTTGGTTGGGTGGTACACAAAATGAATGTGCTTTAAAATGAGAGCATCCCGTTCTGCCTGTAGCTTTTGCAATGCTTTAAATCTCTGCTCTTCCCCCAATACATCCTGAATGACACCCATCTTTTCCTTACTAGGTTTAGCATCAAGTTCTAGTTCATAGAACAACTCAGAATATTCTAGGAGTAGTTCCTGAAATTCTTCCTTAGCTTTGTCTATAATCTGTTTTTGGTGTTTGCTGTAGATATCCATATATACAGATTCTTCCAGCCACAGGTAAAAGTCTTCATTCATGATAAAACTACGAGCCTCTTCCCAAGGCTTCCCAGGAGTTATGAAAGGAGACGTCTCTAGGTTTTCTTTGAAAGCCCTTCGCATCTCAGCTCTTTTCCTCTCATTCCTCAGCTTCTCTAAATGGGCCTCATACAGCTGCTCAGCAGGTAGAGTCTCCATTAGATCAAAAGGTATCCGTTCATTTTCCATATTATCAATGTGGCTGGTGGTATCCCAAGGTGTTTCTTCAAGCACAACAAACCACTTTAGGAATTCTGGCTTGGTTTCCAATAGTTTTTCTGCTTTGATACAGCTCAAGTGGTCAATCTCGTCAAGGTTGGGGATGAGAGCTTCAAAAGCCAGCGGGAGAGCTGCGAGGTACAGCTTCCTGCGCCGTTCGATGTGCTCATGCTTGAGGCGGTGGGTATGCTGCAGGAAGAGCTTCTTGGCTTTCTGCGTGCCCTCGAGGTAGACGTAGTCCTGGTACTCGGGGGAAGACTGCATCTTCCGGCTGACGCCCGGCCAATTCTCATTGTGGCTCTTGACGATGCGGCTCACCAGCCACTCGTACTTGTCTTTTGCAGTTGCTATCTGTTGGCTCTGCTGCTTTAGAGCCTCAAAGTAAGGGATGATTTTCATCTTCCCCCGACTTTTATCAATGAGCTGCACTAAAGTGCTAAAAGCCAGGTCCACATTCACATTAGATCGAGCTGAAGTCTCCACAACCTGGAGATTCTTTTTGCTTAAGGCAAAAGTATGTGCATCTCGAATGTACCGCTCCACTCCCTCGTCACACTTTGTCAGAACCACCACTATAGGCTTTTTTGTCTTGGCGAGTTGATTGTAAAGGTTTGAAACAAACTTGAGCTGATCATCAAAGTTCCTGTTCATGCCCCTGCTCACATCGATGCAGAGAAGAAAGCCATCAATCAGTAGCTTTCCTTCTGGCATTTGTTTCTGTTCAAAGTCCTGTTCCAGCCCCAGCTGGTCAGTGCAAAAATACATGAGCTTCTCCGCTGACGCAAGCTTGGTAGCTGCAGCTCTCTTGATGTAAGGCTGCAGGGCGGTGCTCCGGTGAGGCTGGAAAGTCTGGTCATCAATAAATTCAGTCTGCTCCACAATGTGAATCTTACATTCCACACAGTCCTCCAGGGAGCGCCCCACTTCTCCCCAGTACAAGAAGTGGTCATTGTTGACAACTCTCCCACCAAAGTCACTGGTGCTGAGGACAGAGGTATGGTCCAAGTGAAATTCATCAGCACTGGGGCGAACAAAACGATTGCACAGGCAAGACTTCCCAATGCCGCACTGTCCCTTCTCCTTCTCTGTCCCCGACAATCCCACCACACTGATATTGTAGGTGGGAATGCGGACATCTTGCTTCCTTGCCATCATCATTGTCGACACATCCTGCCAAAGTCAACCACTTCCGAGATGATTCGTGTCTTCCAGTGTCCCATACGACTTCCCCACTGGTCAAGGGAAGGGCAGTCGTTACCAATGCAGGCAAACTGCCCAAGCAGGAGAAGAAACTGTTCTCATAGTGCTTCTGTACCAGCAAAAGTTTCTCATCACTCAACAGCCAGCACTTCCCTGTAGGACAAAAAACAAACACACAGTCAGCATTATAATGCTGGAATCAAAGTACAGTTATCAAATGACAATAATTACGAATGACTCCTAGTCTTGAAAAGGGCCCCAATATTTACTATTTTGAGAACTGTAACTTTAATTTCTTTACAAAATAAGAGCGCTTCTTTTGTAAGAATAAGTGATAGGGACACATGTGCTTTGGCTGCTAATGACCAATGATCTTCTTATCATCTATACTGCACCTTATTTAGACGTTCTGCCCTGGTTAAGATGACAGCATCTCAAGTACTACGACCAGTTCTAGAGATCACATTCTTAGGATGAACACTGATAACCTGGGGTGGTTCCACAGAAATGCAACAAAGATGTGGAAGGGCCTCAAAATCATGTCAATGAGAGCTGGTTGAAAGAACTTATGGCTACATAACCAAGACAAGGGAAGACAAAGAGGAAGATGACTGCTGTCTTCAAATGCTTGTCCTTATATTTGTGTCCCCAGCATCTGACATAATGTCTTGCTCAGAGCAGCACAATGTCTGTTTAACTGAACTATGAGTGTTCATAAAAAGGACTGGCTTGACTCTGCTTATGATTAAAAGAATTCAAAGCTGAAAGAGATAAAAGAAATAGTCTAGTCCTTACATCCACAAACACTTTTAAAAAACATTCTGATAACTGTATTTCAGTATAACTCATAATTCTTTGTGGTTTTTTTTTAAATGTACTTAAATAGTCTGCGGAGTCCATAGACTTCATCAGACTGCCCAAGAGGTTCATGATCCCCTAAAAAAGGTTAAGAAGCCCTCCTTTAGTCCAATCCCCTTATTTTATTTTACATTGGAAAAAGTCAAGGCCCAGACAAAAATGAAGTGCCTTGCCCAAGGTCAGACAAGTAGAAACAAAACTAAAATGTGAGTCTCTATTTGGACTCTATATCTAGTAGTCTGTTCTGTTGCCATGCTAATTCTTCTGCATATCAGAAGGTAGTATTAAAGTCAACAGATGAAAAACGGGGATGCAGATTTTACTAGTAGTGTTCATATAAAAACTGCATGACTACTTGTCAAGGGGGCTGCAGGAGCTAGATTGGGGGCTTTAAAGTTCATCCAATTCAAAGTTTATAATTCAAGGATTGGAGAAAAATCAACAGTTGACTATTAACATGGCCAAATTCACTATCTCTGGAAATTACTATGGTGAACAAATTTTTAAATAAACAAACCTTACAAATTATCTTTCAAATGAAGTTTACATCTTATAAAAGCCCAGCATTCTTACAATTTTGTATCGATGGGAATGTAGGAAATGCCTTGCTGAAGAGACCAAATGGTCTATCCAATTTAATTATCTTGTCTGGGGACAGCCTGAGATCATTGCTATCCACACTAAGCAATGCCATCAGAGACGCTGCTCCCCAAAAGGTCACGAAGGGCAACTCTGTACAGAAATATAACTTAGCTAGACAACGGCTAGAAAGAAGTCGTTAAACTAGTCAAGAGGGAGAGATCACTGGATGCAAGTAATCACCTCATTATGACCTAACGCAGCATTAGGAGGATTCTTGCCTCAGCAGGAAGAAATGGAACATGGAAAAGAGGTAAAAAATTTGGTCCCTTCCTTCATGTTAAATGGAAAATAAGCAAGAAATGTGTGTGAGCACTGGAAGTACATTTTTTAAAATCCACTTAAAAATTTTAAAATGGCAAATGGGCTAAAACTAAGTACACCAACATATAATTAGGCAGCCAAGAACGCTAAAACAATCTTCAGCTACACGATTCGCAGGAATGTCTAGAATAAAGGAGGTGATCATTCCACTGTCTGGCCCTGGTCAGATATCATCAACATCATTACTCATTTATATGATACTTCATAGTTTTGCAAAATCCACAGTTCACATTTTTATAGAAGCTTACAGCTTACAAAGTGTTCTCTTTATGACTCTTCTGTAGGTAATACAAACAACAGCACGCCCCTTTTACAGATAAGGAAGCTGAGGCTCAAAAAGTGACTTGTCATTGATCACATGAATAGGGGCCCAACCTATAACCCTGTGCTCTAATCACGACGCTATGTCCTCTCTTACAGCTAGAATTTATCTAATTAGCGCTGGGGACAGGAGTGGGGCAACACAACCATTTGGAATATGTTCAGAGAAAATCAACCAGGTGAGGAAACTCAAATCAACAAAACAAGAGAGTGAGTAGAAAGAACAGTGTTCAGCCTTGAGAAAAGAGGCGTGATGGGGAGAACACCCTGCTGGATACAGGATGGCTATCTTATCTACAGAGGTATAAGGCTAAAAAGGCCCCTTTGCAGGCTGCAGGAAAAGAGGCACACTGATGCTGTACTGGTGGGCTATGAACATTTCATTCCCATTCTGGTTTTCTTTTCTTTTTTTTTTTTTAAATTAATTTATTTTGATTTATCAACTATTACTTCTATATGCTTTTGAGTTTAAATTTTTTCTCCCCCTTCCTTCCCACCTCCCTCCCCAAGACAGTGCACAATCTGATATAGGTGCTATAGATAGATAGATAGATAGATAGATAGATAGATAGATAGATATAGATATAGATATAGATACAGATATAGATATAGATATCTCCATTCTGGAAAGTAATTTGGAACTAGGCCACAAAAGTCACTAAACCATACATAACCCTTGACTCAGTTATGGTACCACTAGGAAGCCTCTACCCTAAAGACTAAAGAAAGAGGGGAAAAAAAAAGAGGGCCCAGATGTACAAAAATATTTATAACAGCTTTTTGTGGTGGCAAAGAACTGAAAATTAAGGGAGTATCCCCTTCAATTGGGTAACAGATAAACAAACTATGGTCTATGAATGTAATGGAATACTACTGTGCTATAAGAAATGATGACAGAAATAGTTTAAGAGAAGCCTGGAAAGACCTATATGAACTGATGCAGAGTGAAGTGAGCAGAACTAGGAAAACAATTTATACTGTGACACAGTAAAAATGAAAATCGTGAAAGACTTAGGAAGTCTGCTAAATGCAATGATCAAGCATGATAACAGAGGACTGATAATGAAGAATGCTATCCACACCTCCTCACAGAGAGGTGATGGACTCGGTGCAAAAGGAGACAAATATTTGTGGACACAGCTAACATGGTAATTTGTTTTGCTTATCTATGCATATCTGGCAGAAGAGTTTTGTTTCTATTTTTACTTTTCCCAATAGGGGAAGGAGGTGGGAGAAAAAAATAAATGCTGGATAACTTAAAATAATTTTTTTTAATTAAAAAAGAAAAGAAGAAAATGGTCTCTTTTCATCTTGCTAGTCTTTTAACACATTACTGCCTTTCACATATTCTATGGTTTGACTGTACTGGCCAACTTGCCATTTGTTGCATGGTACAATGTGCCTCCTGTCAATGTATTGCCTTTGTACTAGCTGCCCTAAATGGCTGGGAAGCTCTCCTTCCTCACCCCATACAACCTCTGGTTTCCTTTAAGATTCAACTCCAATGCCACCTTCCTCCAAAAGGCCTTTTCAAGTCCTCATAGTTGCTAGTGTCTTACTCTCTAAGAGTACCTGTCATCTACTCTATATTTCAGTTTTATATACTGATTTCTATATCTGCTGTGTCTCTGTTAGAATGTGAGTTTCTTAAGAGCAAAGGATGTTTTTGCTTTTTCTTTGTATTCCAATAGCTTAATGCAATGACACATAGTAAGCACTTAATACAGTCTTGTTTACTGATGGGGCATTCTGCTTCAGGCTAGGGGCAGAAATAAGAGTAATGGGGAAAAGTTACAAGGAGGCAGATATTGACTCACAACAGTAAAGAACCTAACAATTAAGAATTGTCCAAAAATGGCTTCCTCAGGTGGTAGTTTGTTCCTTAGTACTAGAAGAGTTCAATGAGAGGCTGGATAACTACTTAAGAGAAGAGATTTGAACTTAAGGTAGCGCATGGACTGGGCAACAACCTTGGAGACCGCTCCCAGCTCTAAGATTCTCCAACAGGAAAAACCTATGTTTTACTTGAAACAACTCACTCAAGTCTCCACTAGGATTATGATCTGGGGTATCAAGGGAATCCTGATTGACAGAGTAACAGAACCCTTTTTCAAATCAGGAAACTGTGTACAACACAAAGCTCTCTGATGAGGAAACAAAACTGTAAACACTTTGGACCAAATAAGTTATTACATAACTCTATGGAAGTGGTGTCAAATTCAAATAGAAAGGGATCTCTGAGGCCCCATATTGACTTAGAAAATAACAAACTAACATTATCTATGTTGTATTATATTTTTAGATTTGTTAAATATTCCCCAATCACATTTTGATCCGGTTTGGACTAGGGCATGAGTCTGATACCTCTGCTCTACTGTTCAGTATTCCCACTTATAAAATGGAAATAATATTTTCATAACCTATTTTCCGAAACTATGGGGGGAAAATGCCTGTAAATTTTAAATGAATATGAGCAATTCTCACTAAAATTAGCCTCTAAATGATATAGGCTATTCTCAAGGTCTCCAACTTGACACAAGTCATGAAATGCCAAGTAGTGGTATCAGACCCACCCCAAATAGTTCCAACGTGTCTCTGGCAAATCCTCACTTCTTAATGACTCAATTTTTTATATCAAATAGAACCAAGAACATATACTCCTCACAGCTATTTTTTTTCTCTTCTGGTGAGGCAACTGGGGTTAAGTGACTTGCCCAGAGTCACACAGCTAGTGAGTGTTATGTGTCTGAGGTCACATGTGAACTCAGGTCCTCCTGACTCCAGGGCCGGTGCTCTGTCCACTGCGCCACCTAGCTGCCCCTCCTCACAGCTCTCTTGAGGGAAAGAAATGGGACTCACTTGGTAATTCCTTCAAAGTTAGATACAAGTTCTAGATGGAACTAGATGCACCGCCTGAAATGAATTTGTTGACTCATTAATGCTTGTTCTTATTTTGAAAAGCACGTAAAACAGTTAGCTAGAGGGGAAAATAATCTTGCAGCAAATATATA